TTTAAGTTCTTGTTCATATTATATTGTGTGTATTATGTAGTTTAGGTAGATTAGTTTGTACTTTTAGTTTGTAATAGATTTTTAAGTTTGTATGTTTGTATTATATTGTTTTATTATGTAGTTTGAAGTATATAATATTATATTTTTAATTTACTAGCTATAGAAAATTGAACCTCTAGGACTGTCTGGTTGTAATATATATTTGCAGGTTTTAGTTGTAAAACAGAATAAACCCAATTTAAAAAAAACAGCAAATTTACGTCGCATATACCAATATGCGACGCAAATTTGCTGTTTTTTTTTTTAATTTTCAAAAGTTTTTACGTCTGTTTAATGGTATATGCAACACAAAATTACGTCGGTCTTGATAACTGACGTAAATTTACGTCGGGCTAAAGAGTACGACGTAAATTTACGTCTCCCGTTTTAACGTCGGTCTTAAATACGACGTAAAAAGCCCTAAATACCTGACGTAAAAGCCCCTTTTTGCACTAGTGTATATTTAACTTCTTTATTTTAGAAAGATAATAGAACCAAGTTTTCTGAGATAACAACATTTGTAGACAGAGAATAAGATTTTCTTTATTTGTTGCAATTTAAATTTTGTACGTCGTTTAAATTTTTTTGTAGTTCACAAGTTGTTAGTACGTGGGTGTTATCTTTGTTAGTACGTGTGAGTTTGATAATATGTGGAGGTATTTTTCCTATTATATAGTTCATTAGTTATAAAACTAAATCTATATATTTAATTTCTTTATTTTACCAAGATAATAGAACCAAGTTTTCTGAAGAAAAAAATGAAATCTTACATTAATTCTTCCCTGTAAGACTGAATTTTTTATCACAAAAATGATAGTAGCTCCCTCTTGACAGTGATCTAGATGCTCAAAAAATTTTGTCAGTCAAACACATTTGCAAGCACAAAATGTAGCTATTATGAATTCTTGTTGTGGATAAGCTAACCACTGATTTTTTTTTTTTTTAGTGACTAAGATATTACATTGTCTCCCAATTTGAAAACTTAACCGGACGTGTTATTTCTATCTTCTCTATTAGTATAGGCAAGTAATTCTACATTTCCTTCACCTTTATAAAAAATTCCTAAATTTTGAATTTCGTGCAAATATCTCAAAATACGTTTTGCTACTAGGAGGTGATTGTCTTTAGGATGCTCATGAAGTGACTAATCACGCTAACTGAATGTGCAATATTCGGGCTAGTAGCATTTAGATACATAAGACTTCCTATAAGTCGTTTGAATAAAGTACTATCAGCGTCTGCCCTCTTTATCTGTTTTCAGCAACTTAATACCTGATGTTCACGTCCCTTGGAGACATAGTCTTGTGGTTGTTCTAAGTATACATCATCTTGCCCCATGTAAGAAGGCTAACTTGATATCAAGATACATGTTCCACCTTTTTGTGGCTGCAAATGCAACAACAGTTCTATTGGTTTCTAAACGAGCTACTGTGCAAAAATCTCGCTATAATCGATGTCCTCTCCTTTTCCTATTAATCTGGCTTTAAATTTGTCAATCCCCTATCTCCTTCAATTTTGTCTTGTAAATCCATTTGACACCTGTAATTTTGCAATGTTTGCAAGTGCAGATCTAGTAACATACAACCAATCATCACAAGGTCAACATTAGAGAGATGCCATGGATGTTGAATTTCAAGTCATTCAAAGAAACTGTTAGAACCGCGCAGCGGAATGTTTGCGTTACTGGACAAAAACCAAGAGGGGGGGGGGTGAATTGGTTTTTAAACAAAAATTAGGGTTTTAAAATTTTTCCCAAATTTCACCGATTAAAATGTTGTGTAAAGTAAATAGAGAAGGGATAGAGGATTACACAGTCGATTTATACTGGTTCAGATCAAAAGACCCTACGTCCAGTTGCTAATCACTCAAACAGAGGATTAACGCTACCACTATCACAGTTTACAAATTGAAAAGATAAGGTAAAGAAAACACCTCTCTTGAGTCACATAAGAGATGAACACCTCCTTTGAATCCACAAAGGATGAAGAACAACTTTCCCTAGAGATGGCACAACACACAATCCACCAAGAAACCCACTCAGTGATTCTGATCGCTTCTAGCCCACAATAGGTTTCAAAAGCCCCTTTTTCCTCCCTACAAACAGTTCTCTGGCAGTCACAACTCTTAACTTTTGTATGAAAAAGGTTGTTCAATTTTTAGAGAGCCTTAGAGAACCTTAAGTAGAGAGATTAGGGTTTGGGAATTGGGGATTGGGGATTTTCGAAATTGAATGAATTGGGAATAGGGTTTTCAAAACTTGGTCCAATTTTGAATTTCAAAATACATATCAAACCCAAATAATCGATTATCTTGAGTGTTAATCGATTATTCTAGAGCCATTCTCGTAGAGGAGCAAAAATAGCACCAGTTAATCGATTAACAGGTCATTTAATCGATTAACAGCCCAGTTAATCAATTAACAGGCAATTTAATCGATTATTCCAGAGAGCAAATGCTAAAAATGATTTTTTTTTTCTGTAATAATCGATTATCCTGCCATTTAATCGATTATTCTAGTGTATTTTTGATAAAAATGAGTTTTTAGAGCTTTTAAAGAGTGGTCTATGTGCTGGCTATCTTGGACTCTAATATTACAGACTCAATAACATAAAAACAGAGTTATTACATAACATTACAAATCTTCAAATCTTTAAGTCCTTTATTCTTGTATCATCATCAAAATCTACAAGCTTTATATCATTGTATGTTCAACATTCATATCCTTGTATGTTCAACAGAAAATTACAGGTGTCAAGTGGATTTACTAGACAAAATTGAAGGAGACAAGGGTGATTGACAAATTTAAAGCTAGACTAGTAGCAAAAGGATACACCCAAGTAGAGGGCATCGATTATAGCAAGATTTTTGCAGTAGCTCATTTGGAAACCATTAGAACTATTGTTGCATTATCCGCTACAAAAAGGTAGAACATTTATCAGCTTCATATCAAGTCAGCCTTCTTACATGGACCAATCAATGAAGATGTATACTTAGAACAACCACAGGATTATGTCTCTAAGGGACGTGAACATCAGATATACAAACTTAGACAAGCCCTATATAGTCTTAAACAAACTCTTAGAGCCTTGTACAGTAGGTTGGAGTCTTATGTTGCAGTTAATGATTTTTTAAAAGTTTACTATCTGTAAAAGAAGGAGAAAGGTGCACTCTTAATTATTTTTGTTTATATAGATGATTTTATATACACAGATAATTATGAATCAATGTTTCTAGAGTTTAAAAGTATGATGATGAATGAGTTTGCTATGACTGACTTAGGCAAGATGAGATACTTACTATGCATTGAAGTTTTGCAAAGCTGTGATGAAATTTTGATTGGACAGAAGAAATATATCAGGGATATGTTACAGATTCTGTTAGAATCGCGCAGCGGAATGTTCGCGTGGTCGGACAAAAACCAAGAGGGGGGGTGAATTGGTTTCTTAATAAAAATTAGGTTTTCAAAATTTTCCCCAAATTTTACCGATTAAAAACTGTGTAAATGTAAATAGAGTAGAGATAGAATCTTACACAGGAGATTTATACTGGTTCGGATCAAAAGACCCTACGTCCAGTTGCTAATCACTCAAACAGAGGATTAATGCTGTCACTTTAGTCAAAGTTGTTACAAACATATTACAATTGAAAAGATAAAGTAAAGAAAACACCTCTCTTGAAATGCACAAGAGATGAAGAACAACTTTCCCTAGAGACGACACAGCACTCAATCCACTAAGAACTCCACTTAGTGATTCTTATCGCTTCTAGCCCACACCAGGTTCCAAAAGCCCATTTTTCTTGCAACAAACAGTTCTCTGGCACTCACAACACTTAACTTTTGTATGAAAAATGTTGTTCTTATATTCTGAGTGCCATAGAGAAGCTTAAGTAGAGAAATTAGGGTTTGGGAATTAGGAATTTCGGAACTAGAGAGTATTGGGATTAGGGTTTTCGAAAATAGGGTTGATTTGAAGTTGAAAATCAAAATCTGACTGAAATAATCGATTAGATGAAGTGTTAATCGATTATTACAGAGCCAAAATCAATAGAACCCCAAAACTCTCTGTTTTAATCGATTAAAAGACCTGTTAATTGATTAATAGGCCTGTTAATCGATTAACAGGTGTGTTAATCGATTAAACCAGTGAGCAGATACAGAAAATGGTTTTTCTCACTGTTTTAATCGATTATTTCACTATTTAATCGATTAAAGCCGAGCCACTTTGATAAAATTGAGTTTTTGAAGCTTCTAAAGTGCAGACTATGTACCGGCTATCTCAAACTCTAATATTACAGACTCAAACTAATCAAAACAGAGTTATTACACAATTAAACAAGTCTTCAACTCTCTAAGTTCTTTGTTCTTGAATCATCATCAAAATCAACAAGCTTCATGTCCATGTAAGTTCAACATCAAGTCCTTGAATGTTCAACAATCTCCCCCTTTTTGATGATGATCAAAATTATCTTTTAAAGCCTTGTAATAACCTGTTTTATCTGTCATACTAACAAACACATTAAACATACCAGATAATATTTAAATTCAATCATGAGAGGCTTTAAATATTTTTCCCCCTATTCTGCTATAACAATCATTCTGCTATAACAATCATAAGAGCTCCCCCTCAAAATATGCATAAGTTGGAGATAACTCCCCCTCAATCAAAGCATTAAAGGAACATCATATTTTATTGCAGAAACAATCATTCATTACAACAAGAGAAAATAACAAGAGAAAATAACAAAAAAATTTAAAATTCTTCACTATCATCACTATTAAAGTGTGCATCAAATCTATTTTCTAAATGGCACACTTTATCATCTACATCAGATATACGGCGAATTATTTGTTCATGTCGTACTCCAGAAAGAGTGAAGAATGCCTGCATCCTCTAATTCATGTCAGATAACATGTCTTCCATAGATTGTCAGGTTTCATGATGAGTAGAGGAAGTTCCAACACTTTGGATTTGATCAGAGGGAAACTCAGCAGCAGGAGGCATATCTTCATCAGAATCGTCATTATTGTCACCTTGGTTTGGAACATCATCCTTGTGAACATAAATATCATTGAATCGCACCATTTGGAGTTGGATCGACGTGTTGTCCAACATGCGGTTCAAGTTATTCGTTCTTACTGTTTGTTCACCTTCGACATTCACTCCTTTGTATTCAAGAATACGGGAGACAAGGAGGGCATATGGAATTTTGAAGGTGGGATGACGTTTTGCTTTTAACATGGTCATAGTGACAAGAACGCCCCAATCTAAAGGCTCATTATTCATTATGGCATGAATAATACGAAGATCAATAGAAGAACATTGGGCATGATTCGTAGCCCGGGGACATAAGATCCATACAAGTAAATGTAAAATCATGCGTTCCTCCTTCTTCAAAGGTCCAGCAAGAAGGAGACGCCCAATCTCCATGGAGGGGTTTCACAGAAAAGAGCGATAAGCTAGGATCCTTTCAAAATCATCTAACTCACCATATACGTTAATAACATCCTCTCTAATTGGAAAGTGAGCAACATTCTCCCAAATATCATCATCAAGAATAATTGTAACCCCTTTTACACGAGATGTAGCAATTTGATCTCTAAATTTGAACCTAGAGTAAAATACCCTAACTAAGTCAGGATAATACGTACCTTGCATTTGGATGAAAGGGAGAACTCCTTGAATTTCAAGGAGATTAGGAAAGTTGAATCCCCTATTGATAAACTGTTCACCAATAAGGAACTTAGGAGAAATAATGCCACGTTCCTTCCAGTAGGACATAAATTCTTGTCGGCCTTCTGCATCAGCGATCCATCCTTCTACAGAATTAGGATGGGGATGAGATGAGGGTGCAGATCTTCTTCTAGTAGGGATCTTAGCACGAGAAGATGAGGCCATTGAAGGATTAGAAGAATAACAAGAAGTTTGAGGAGGACAAGTTAAGAGAGAATAAGGCAAGAATGCTAGAATAAGGTAAGAAAGCTTGATTTCAAGAGATAGAAGTGAGTAGAAGTGAAATGGATGCCCCTATTTATAGCCAAGCATGTCTAACGGTCATATGGAAGTGTATAAGGGTCAAGAGAGTCGTTGTCAATGGCTAGGAATTCAAACTTGCCAGGTTTAATCGATTAAAACTCAAATTAATCGATTAAACCAGTACCAGACCCAGTTAATCGATTAATTTGAGCTGTTAATCGATTAACACTGGTTTTAATCGATTATTGGACGAATTAATCGATTAAAACAGAGAGGAATACCATGTTTTGGGTGTTTTAGATGCAAATAATCGATTATAACTCCAATTAATCGATTATTCCAGAGAGTTCATCAAATATTTGAGGTTTATACATATGATAACCTATGAACATCCTTCATAAAGAATTATAACATTACAATCATCCAAGAACTGTATAATTAAGCAGATTTTAAGCTATTTCTAATATCCCTAAGTCTCTTCTAAGATCATAAAATCTATCCTTGGGTAGAGGCTTAGTAAAAATATCTTCTAATTGATGCTTTGTATCAACGTACTCTATTTTACAATTTCCTTTGCTGATATGATCTCTCAAAAAGTGATGTCTTATTTCTATATGTTTAGTCCTAGAGTGCATTACTGGATTCTTAGTAAGATTAATTGTAGTCGTATTATCACACATTAACGGTATGTCATTTAAAAATATACTATAATCTTCTAACTGTTGTTTCATCCACAGAATTTGAGCACAACAACTACCAGCTGCAATATATTCAGCTTCAGTGATAGATAAAGCAACACATGCTTGTTTCTTAGAATGCCAAGATACTAAGGATGAACCTAACAAATGACATGTCCCACTAGTACTTTTCCTATCAATTTTGCATCCACCATAATCAGCATCAGAATATCCTATTAAACTAGTACAAGCATCAAACGGATACCACAAACCAAAACCAGTAGTTCCTTTTAAATATTTTAAAATATGTTTTACTGCAATTAGGTGAGATTCTTTTGGACAAGCCTGAAATCTAGCACACACACACAGAATGCATAATATCAGGTCTACTTGCAGTTAAGTATAACAGTGAACCTATCATACCTCTATACATAGATTGATTAACTTCCAAACCTGATTCATCCTTGTCTAAATAGCATGAAGTTCCCATGGGTGTGTTAGCTTCCCTTGAGGTGTTCATTCCAAACTTTTTAAGGATCTCTTTGCAGTATTTGGTTTGAGAGATGAAAATGCCATCTTTAAGTTGCTTGATTTGAAGTCCAAGGAAGAATGTTAATTCTCCCATCATAGACATTTCAAACTCTCCCTGCTTTATCTTAGCAAATTCTACACACAACGAATTATCAGTTGATCCAAAAATAATATCATCAACATATACCTAGACCAATAAGATATGTTCTTTAACTTTCTTTATGAACATAGTAGAATCAATTTTTCCTCTAGAAAAATCATTTGATGTTAGGAAACTACTTAGCCTTTCATACCAAGACCTAGGAGCTTGTTTCAACCCATATAATTCTTTCTTTAATTTAAAAATATGATTAGGATAATTAAAATCTTCAAATCCAGGGGGTTGCTCCACATACACTTATTCTTTAATAAAACCATTCAAAAATGCACTCTTAACATCCATTTGATATAATTTAAATTTCATCAAAGATGCATAAGCAAGAAGTAGGTGTATAGCCTCTAACCTGGCAACAGGAGCATAAGTTTCATCATAATCAATACCTTGCTCTTGACAATAGCCTTTGGCAACAAGTTTGGCTTTATTCTTTGTTATGTTTCCATCTTCATCAAGTTTATTTCTAAACACCCATTTAGTTCCAATTACTTGATGTGACTCTTCTCTTGGGATTAATTCCCAGACTTGATTCCTTACAAATTGGTTAAGTTCTTCTTGCATGGCTATGCACCATTGGTCATCTTTAAGCGCTTCCTCAACATTTTTAGGTTCTATCTGTGACACAAAAGCTACATACATATAGAAATTAGTCATATTTCTAGTTCTTACCCCTTTTGAGATGTCATCTATGATATTGTCCATTGAGAGTCCTCTAGGTGATTGCCATTCTTTTGCTAATTGAGGCGTTTGAGAAGGCTCATTTTCTTCCAAATATAATTCATCAAGAGCCTCTCTTATATATTCATCATCACCTGCAAGTTCTTTATTTGACTCAAGAGGATTTCCCCCAAGGTCTACAATCTCATCAAAAGTAACATGTATAGATTCTTCTATATTTAAATTTCTCCTATTAAACACCCTGTAAGCCTTGCTAGTTAATGAATAACCTAAGAAAATTCCCTCATCAAATTTTGAGTCAAATTTTCCTAGGTTGTCCTTTCCATTATTTAACACAAAACATTTACATCCAAATATCTTTAAATGAGAAACATTAGGTTTTCTTCCATTAAACAATTCATAGGGAGTAGATTTAATAATTGACCTAATGAACATTCTATTTAAAACATAACATGCAGTACTAACCGCATCAGCCCAAAAATATTTAGGAACATTAGATTCATTTAACATAGTTCTAGCAAGTTCCTCTAATGACCTATTTTTCCTTTCAACTACACCATTTTGTTGGGGAGTTCTAGGAGGAGAAAAGTTATGTAATATTCCATTTTCTTCACAATAATTTTCAAACTTTTCATTTTGAAACTCACCACCATGGTCACTTCTTAAAACTTTAATTCTTAAGTCTTTTTCATTTTGAATTTGTTTTGCAAATTTTCTAAAGACCTTAAAGGCTTCACTTTTCATAGTTAGGAAAAATGTCCAAGTATATCTAGAGTAATCATCAACAATCACAAGGCCATAATAATTTCCACCAAAGCTTTTTATCCTAGAAGGTCCAAATAAATCTAAATGTAATAATTCTAGGGGTTTTGAAGTGGAAATAACATTCTTTGATTTAAATGATGATTTTACTTGTTTACCTTTTTGGCATGCATCACACAATCTATCTTTTTCAAATTTTAACTTAGGAAAACCAATAACTAAGTCTTTTGAAATCAATTTGTTCAAATGATGCATATTTATATGAGCCGCTCTCTTATGCCATAACCAAGGATTCTCTTCCTTAGCAACTAAACATGTTATGCTAGACTCATGTAAACAATCCAAATCAATCAAGTATATGTTATTATGCCTAATGCCTTTTAATTCTACATTTTCGGAATCTATCAAATGTATGGTGCAAAATTTACTTTCTAAGATTACCTTAAATCCTTTGTCACATAGTTGACTTATGCTAAGGAGATTATGCTTTAGTCCATCAACAAGAAGCACATCCTTAATCTCCAATGTGTTTGCATCACCTATGTTTCCAATTCCAAGAATCTTCCCTTTGTTGTTGTCCCCATAAGTTACATATCCTTGTTCCTTAGCTTTGAAACTCACAAATTTAGTTTTATCACCGGTCATATGTTTTGAGCATCCACTATTAAGATACCACATAGACTTCTTTGATTTGGAAGTTTCCTACAAAACAAGAACATAGAAAACTTAGGTCCCCATAACTTTTGGGTTCTTGGGGTTAGAGACACACAAATCATTTAACAATAGGAACCCACATGTATTTACCTTTAGGAACACCAAAATGTTTTATTTTACATTTATTTGAAGTGTGACCTTCTTTCATACAGTAAAAACATGCATTAGATGTAGCTTTAGGATAAGATGCATTTCTAACAATAGATGCTCTAGTCCATTTTTCTATCATACTCTTTTATTTTTCCTTTTAGGCTTTTTCAAAGGAACTTGATAATTTACACTATTTTGAGCAAAAACAGTTTTATCCTTCTTAAGATCACTTATCTCCTTTTCGGCTTTATCAAGTAGATGATTAAGAATATCTATGTCATATTCATGCTCTTTACAAGTTTCACATGCTAATTTTTTATTATCCTTCTCATCTAAACATACAATTTTCGTTTCTAATAATTCCTTTTCTTCTAAACATGTGATTTTCGTTTTTAATGAGTCAATTTCCTTTTCGGATCTACTTAAACTCTTCATTACAACTTTATATTCATTTTCAAATTCTTAAAAGCACTAAACAATTCATTGTAAGCATTTTGCAGTTCATCATAGTTATTTTCATCATCACTAGAAGATGAGTCGGAATCACTTACCTCAAAGTCGGAAGATATGTTGTCATTTGCTATTAAACAAATTTTTGCTTCTACTTCCGAGTCACTTGATTCCGAACTTGAGTCACTGTTGTCCCAAGCAATATAAGCTTTCTTCTTGAAGAACTTTTTGCTTTTGATTTCATCGTTCTTCTTATTTGGACATTCGGTCTTTACATGTCCTGCTTCACCACAACCATAACATTTTATATTTACGGAAGTACTTTCTCTTACCTTTCCCTTACCTTTGAATGGATGTCTTCCTTTTGCTTTCATGAATTTGGTGAACTTCTTTATCAT